GCCATTGCCTTCTTCTTGGAGCTGAGGAAGAGGAACCGGCTCAAAGTCACCCAGCTGCTTTGTGCCTTAGGTGGGACTTCTGCTTTCCAGCATGGTGTCCTTAATCACAAAGCTTTGACTGTTAAATTTAAAAATCCAAATCCAAATTTCCAAAGATCTGCCAGCTATCTCAAGGATCTGGGAATTACGTTGGGATCAAAGAGTTAAGCAGCCAAAGCTTTGGGTTTTGATCCTGGTATTACAAGAAGCCATTCTTTAAACAAAAGAAAAACCTAGACCAAAAAGAGTAAGTTCTCATCTGACAGATATTAATAGTCCAAATTTACCTTGGACAGCCTTAAATGCTCAGCATGCCTGGGGAAGACTTCTTGCCATTTGTAGATGGAGGGACTGTGATTAGAGGCTCTCTTTGTCTATTTTTTTTTCTCACACTCTTGCACGTAGGCACACCTGGGGCAAAACCCTCATCTGTTCAGAAGTCAATCAGATTTCTGACAGATGTGCCTTTGTTCTTTATCTCCTTAGGAGTGAACAATGAACAAAAAAAATGTAGACCTTACAATATTCTACCCCAGAGCTCTGCACGTTGGCCGGTCTCAAAAGGAGGGATAATGTCCACCTGATCTCAGTCGAGGCAGAAGAAACTGGAATCTGAAGAAAGAACAATAATAGGCAGAATACAGAATACAAAATAACAGAGTTGGGTCCTTGGAGATCCTCTAGTCCAACCCCCTGCTCGGGCAGGAAACCCTATACCATTTCAGACAAATGGCTGTCCAGTCTCTTCTTAAAAACTTTCCTTGGAGTTTGAAAAATAGCAGGGACAGTTGGGTGTTATAAGCTACTTCTGTTGAGCCTTGAATGACTTCATGTGGTTTGGATCCAAGGGAACATTGCACATTTGGACAAATACTTCCAATTTCCCTGTTCCTCATTCTATATGATTCTAGAATAATGAATAATAGGTTGTATGGGCTGCAGTGGGTGAGAAATCTAAGGTTTTGTGATCTTCTCCAGATCCTCATTCCCAAAACCAAGTTTCAAATCTTCACTGTAAATGCATAACATCTGAATTGAATGTGACATGTGGGTAAATTGTGGAGGAAATGCCTAAATGAGTGTTTCTCAACACTGGCAACTTTAAGATGTGTGGACTTCAACTCCCAACTATTCCTGGCTGGGGAATCCTGGGAATTGAACTTCACACAAGTTAAATTTGCCAAACCTGAGAAACATTGGTCTAAATGCATTCCATTTTCAATTTTCCTCAGTTAAACTCTAATACATGTACAGGGCTAATTTGATCCTTAGAAAACATTCTTCAACATTGGATGGGGATAGAAAAAGAAAGCCCTAAATCACGGGTGTCAAATTTACTGCGTCACATGACGTGTTGCAACGTGTCGTGGCTTTTTTTGCATTGCTGGAGCTAGGGTGGGCTCGGCCTCCACATGATGCAACCAGCTAGCGGGCCAGCAGTTTGACACCCCTGCCCTAAATGTTGTCAAAAAATGCTATGCTGTTGGTGAGGTTTGGTTAATATTTTGCAGTTCACATTTTAAAAGGCAGTGTTTGAATTACAAAAACACATTCCAGTTAGGATTAAGACTCTGTCCAAACACAGAGGCCTGCAGACAAAGGAGGATCCTGTCTAAAATCCATGTACTACATCTCTGTGTAGTTTTCATAATATGAGCTTTTTTATACTATTCAAATACCTGCAAATACAAAGACAAGAGAGTAAAGCTGTATTTACAATACTTCCAGTTGCTCATCTGCTAGTCAAACCAAGAGTCTTTCAAATGTATTGTGAATACAACCCGCAGTATTCCTAGGTAAAAAAAGTACCAGTGGTTGCATTCACAATGTGTCTGCAGTATAGCAACCTGTTGCAATTCAACTCAGCTCTAAAACACCACAAATGCACACAACCTTCAAGAATGCTGGCTTCCTGCAAAAGTCATTCCTCTCTGACTCCAAATGAATCATGGAGAAAGAATGAGCCATCCTCATCCTCTCTCAAACTCTCTTCTCTGTCTGATCCAAACTCTCTTCTCTGTCTGATCCATCCTGATTTGCAGTCTTCTGCAGCTCTTCTGCATAGTAATACTGAATTGTGCTCCAGCTAATAAGCTCTTTTTTTGATGACATCAGAACACTTCAGTGTATTTGAGGTCTTTAGCCATTAACTCAGGTTCCACCAACTCTTAAAACTAGGATTTTTTTTTTATTTCAGTGCTATAATGGGGGCAATTATGCTAATTATAACATGTTCTAAGGATTGAATTGGTCCTGTTGTGAAATATGACTTGATAAGCTGGTCATATCTATATTTTCATCTCCAGCTAATCTTTCCTAGCTATCATTACTTTAATCAGTCAGCTTTTCCTATTCTTGTTGGATATGTTTATCTCCATACATCAAGTTATCTTTATGTGTAAAACTAAAAAGCACAAGGTGTTTCCTTCTTGACAATCAAACAGTTCTTTGTGCCTCAGGCCAAAGGGCTATAATAGTATGAAAGCTGTGTGCATATGTGCTTTCTCTCCGACACTATATTTTTCACCCATTCCCAAATCTTACGCTTTTTGTAATGTTGCAAGAAATACATATAGTTCTGAGTGTAGATCTATTTTCTTTTATCAGGAGCTTGATTGCATTCATAAGGTGACCAACTTTTTTACAATGAAAAGGAGGTCACAAATAAATTGAAGAAAAAAATATCATAAACAAAAGAAACATTTTATTCATTGCAACAATAATACAGACAACTTACATGTGCAAGGTTTGCCAGCCAGGTGTTTTGGCGCACTCAGCAGCAATTCCTATTGGCTTTCAAAAGCCAATAGTGGGAGTAGCACAGCTCATGCAAAAGGTGAAAAAAAAACCATCAAAAAAAGGTGCCGGAACGCTGTTCTGAGCGTTCTATGAGGGGGAAAAGAAGCCATGCAGATTAGTCTTCAAATATCGAAAAGGAGGACATGAAGGAGGACACTTTTTGAGGGAGGCCAGAACTTACAAAAGGAGGACTGTCCTCCCTAAAGGAGGACAATTGGTCACCTTAGCATTCAGCCAGTAGTCCCAAAGTTGCTTTTTCCAATAGGCAACTGGAGTTTCTTTTTTTTTTTTTTTTCTTTGAAAACATTTTGCTTCTCATCCAAGAAGCTTTTTGGATAAGAAGTGAAACATTTTCAAAGAAAAAAATCAAGAAAGTACAGTTGCCTTTTGGAAAAAGTCCCTTTGGAGCAGCCATGACCTGGATCAGGGGTGTCAAACTGCTGGCCCGCAGGCCAGTTGCATCATATGGAGGCTGCACTCACCCCAGCTCCAGCAATGCAAAAAAAGTTGCGATATGTCACGACATGTCATGTGACGTGGCGAGTTTGACACCCGTGACCTGGACGATTGAGAATCTCCATAGATCAGAGGTGGGAAACTATGGCTCTTTTATGACTTGTGGACTTCAACTCCCAGAAACTCAGGAATTCTGGAAGTCCACAAGGCATAAAAGGGCCATAGTTCCTCACCCCTGCCATAGATAGATATCCAGCCAGCAAATAATAAAAGAGGGGAGGGAGGGAGGAAGAGTGAAAGAGACAGAAATTGAGTTGTAGGACAGAAATCTCGCCCAAGATTATATATTGACTTTGTTGTGAAGTTCTAGTTATTTAAGCACTAAGCCCAGCATTGGCTACTTCTGGAAGCATAAGCTTTCCATATGTGTGTGGGTTGTCTGCAAGGAAAAACAAGGCAAGGTGCTCAGTGGAGCAGAAGCTGAAAGTTATAATGGAGGTCTTGGAAGTCTTTTTCTCAAGTTATGTGAAGGTCATCTTCAAGGGTCATTTCACAGAAGTATGCTTAGTCACAGTATTAATAGGCCAGGGGTAGGCAACCTTGGCTCTTTTATGACTCGTGGACTTCAACTCCCAGAATTCCTGAGCCAGCCATGCTGGCTCAGGAATTCTGGGAGTTGAAGTCCACGAGTCATAAAAGAGCCAAAATTGCCTACTCTGTAATAGGCAAATCTGTCCATCCATCCAAGTATCAGTCAAAAGTTATGACTGAAAAGAGATAGATCACAACCATTTTGAAAAGAGACAGAACACATCCATATTGATATGGATGTTTCTAGTTACTACAGAGACTCCTTGACTTATGATCAGTTGCTTAATAACCGTTTGAAAATACAATGGGCCTGGATGGGTGCTTTACAGCCTGAAACATTTCTGGCTGTTGTAAAATGTCATAGCACCTCCCCCTCTCATGCAACATTTCAGGCATTTGGCAACTGGCTCGACCAGTTGCAGCATCCCTCAGTCACACGACCATAATTTGTGACATTTTTTTGCCGGTTTCCAGCAGAAAATGCCCAATTGGAAGAATGGGTTCATACTTACGATTGTGGCGTTCACTGAACAATCACAATGACTTGCTTAACAACCACCACAAAAATTGGGTCCAGTCATGGGGGCCTCGACATACAACTGTAACGACTTACAACCATAAATCTAGTCCCATTTGCAATCATAAATCGAAGACTATCTGTAATCCAGCAAGAATACCGGACAGTTCATCAGTAGGTGAATGTTATGAAATGATGGTCTCCTAACAATTAAAAACTGCTTTTTTAAAAAAAAAAAAAAAATCCCATCAATGGAGAGAACAAAAATACACACTTTACCTGAAGATGAGGCAATGCATTTTTTTTAGCTTACCTTTATACTCCTTTTACCCCATCTCATACACAAAGGTAGTTACATTGGTTGCTACAAGAGTTGTACTAGAGAAATTAAGATGTTTAATTAATTAATTAATTAGCCTGAAGACTAAAACATATGAACATACAGTTGCAGGAATTGGGTATGGCCAGTCTAGAGAAAAGAAGGGCTAGGGGTGACATGACAACAGTGTTCCAGTATTTGAGGGGCTGCCACAAAGAAGAGGGGCGTCAACTTATTTTCCAAAGCACCAGAAGGCAGGACAAGAAACAACAGATGGAAACTAATCAAGGAGAGAAGCAACCTGGAATTAAGGAGAAACTTTCTAACAGTGAGAACAATTAACCAGTGGAATAAGATTGTTTTTAGAGGTTGTGCGTGCTCCATCACTGGAAGTCTTGAAGAAGAGATTGGACAGCCACTTGTCTGAAATGGTATAGGATCTCCTGCTTGAGCAGGGGGCGGGGTTACTATAAGACCTCCAAAGTCCCTTCCAATTCTCTTCTGATTGATTTATATAGCAAATGGATTTGATATAAAGGAGAAGGGAAGCATCACTCATTGGAAAAAGAGAAAGCTTTGTGGTGATTACCCAGTGCATACATTCATGTATTCTTGGCAGTGATACAGAAGTGATTTGCCACTGTCTAGTCTCAATATTTGTTTTACTTTTCACTCTAGCTATCAACTAGCCTGCAATCCTGGGATTTCCATATAGTGAATTCATGCCATCAGTGTGCATGACACTTGATAAGGCAGCCCCAAGCTGTTTTCAAGGAAATTAAGACAGATGAAATCAGGGACAGAGTGAAAATCCACATTCAACTGTATGAGATTTTTACCCTGCTCTTCTTCAGAATCGCAACTCATTATATAATCAACAGAAGAACATTCTAGCTTCAAATAGTAAGAATGGGCCACTTTAAAACTGTGGATTATCCATACATCGATTTGGTTTTCATAGGATATTGTTTCCAAAATCTGATCTGGGGAGATTTCGATCTGTCTGACTTTTAGAGGGAGATTTGTAACTTTCAGGAAATAAATATTCCAGAATTGGAAATGGCAAAATAAATATTAGAATGTACAAAGTGAACATTGAAATGGCTTTTCTTGCTCAGAACAGAGATTTTTTTTAATGCAACAAAAATAGAGATGCAAATATACAAATTCCTTTAGATCATCAAATCTTCCAAGATTTATATCTTCTCATACATTTCAATCATTTTGAGAAATTCAAAATTGACTTATTTCTGGGATCCAAGAAGCATCTAAGAGGGGTCTTCTGAGCCATGGCACCCCCCAAGTGATACATAGCTTATATAGTAGTTCTCAAAAGTTTTCCAAGGACAAATTAACATTTCCATAAAGTAAAAAGTTGGCTCTGATATTGCAGAGGCAGAATTGTAAGGAGTTGTTCAAATGCTTCACAGAAAAGGGAGGGTTAAGGAAAGATAGCAAGGCAGATTTTAAGAGGTCAGGAAGGCAGATCCGTGCAAGAGAGACAGTGAGGGAACAAGATGGAACTGATGACATTTGAACCAGCAAGTCAGAATATGAGAAGCAAAGGTCATGCAATCACAAAGAACTATTGGGATAAGAACAATAGAGGCATTCGAGGGCACAGTAAGAACTGAATATCAATGAAATACAGGGCTACACATTAGATTTTTAAAAACGTTGGATCCAGCCTACCTTAACAGGACAATCTTTCTGTTCCTTTCTTGAAAAAGAAAAAAGAGCTTTTTAGGAAGATGAAATAGGCCATTTTTTTCTAAGTGCACAGGTAGTTCTCAATTTACAACCATTCATTCAATGACTTGTTTCAAAATGACAACAGCGCTGAAAAAAGTCACTTATGACTTCTCCTCACACTTGTGACCACCACAGCATCTGGTGTCGTGATCAGAATTCGGGCATTTGGAAACCAGCATGTATTTACAATTGTCCCTGGTTCATGCAATCACCATTTGTGACCTTTCCAGCCAAGCAAAGTTAATGGGAAAAGTAAGGACTGTATGGTTCACTTAACTCCCATCTTGGTTAAACACAGAAATTCTGGTCCTAACTGAGGCTACCTGCACTCAGGATTTCTCCCAGACAAATTTTTTATTGATTTGCAACCTTAGTTCCAATGGGTAAAATAACCATGATGTAACTCTGTTTAGGAGAGACACATACATCACAGCAGCCACTGTATTCCAGCGAGAGGTTTACTGTTCTGTGAATGAACAAAATGAGAATATATTTTCTACCACTTTCTCGCCATTGCATAAACTTTTTATTCAAAGTTTTACTGATTACCAAATCAAGCAGCCATGCCACAGTAATAGAATTACATGATTCAAAATTAAGCACTGGATTGTCATGTTGCAGTGAAAATGAATGATCAGAGTGCACATTGGCCAAGAGGCCACATTTTAATATTCCAGTACCACAGAAAACGTTGCTGCTCTAATTATAACAGATTTATCTCAAGTAGAAGATTAAAATATTACTAAGACACAATTAATTATTTTAAAAATGCTACCCCACCATCATGATTTTTATTGGAATTCTGCCTTTAGTTCCCCATAGACGTGGAGCAGGATAGAGCAGGTTGTTTCCCTGAATGGAGCCAGTAGCATTTCTGCTTCCCTTTGATAATTCTCTATCTTCTGAAGGAAATCAGCTTGGTTTTCCTCCTTCCTGTTGCATTCTTCTTCCCTTGGGGTGCTGAATGTGGCTTTGGCTGGTTTCTTTGCCCTGAAGGATTAACAATTCATCTTGAAAGGCTGTTGGCTGGAAAGACTTTGAAGGCCTCACTCTTGAGGAAGAAGCCAATCCTGTTGATGGCTCTGGCCACACCCTGGGCTTCCAGATAAATAAGCACAATATCCCCCACTTAACGTAGGCCACACTTTCTAGGCACATATCTTGTGCCTGCAACAGGAGCCGGATAAAAGTCATTCCTTGGGGGCTTGAAGGCTTTCTGTTGCTAATGCCATCTTTCCAAGAAAGGGGGAGAAGCTTACGAGGAGAAATCAAGAAATCCCAGGTACAGCAGGTGAGTCTTGTAGAGGAGGGAGGTGACAAAAGATTAAGAAAGTGACTTCCTGTCAAAATTATCTGGGTATAATAGTAAAAAAAAAAAAAAAGCAGAAGGGAAAAAGGAGTGAGAGCAATGGGGTTGCTACCTTTTTCAGAGTTAGACCTCTGGACTCTACGAAATACTGAATTCTCTGCTAGCTGGTACAGTCAGGCAGATGGTTGTCCCAATACTCTCCAGAGATGCTGAACCTGGAACCTAACTGAACATAAAGCACATACTCCACTCCAAAAGTATGCTCTCTGCTCAAGGGAGATGGTATTTCTGGACAAATCAGTTTTCTGGATACAGTGGAGAACCCATTGAAGGGAAGGTAGTATAAAGAATCAGAATTGTAAAGTTGTGAGGGGTCGTCCAATCTAATCTCTGGGTCAGTACAGGAATCTGAATTAATCCATCCTGGAATGATGGCTCTCTGGCTTTTGCTTGATCCTATCCAATGAAAGGAAGTCCCCACCATCTCTCTTGAGTAGTTAATGCCACTGACAAACTGCTTTTATTGTTAGGAAAGTTGTTTCTTAGTTGGAATATTTAATGTGAGAAGAGAACCAACTCTTTTTACACGTATTGTGTTCTTTTCCATTGTTTAGTTTATGGTGCTACTATTTTACTTCTATTCTGTTTACACTCCTTTCTTTTTCTTCCTTTTAATATTGTAAGCTGCCTAGAATAGCCCCACAGTAAGACAGGCAGCAAATACATTTAACAAGCAAAAAAATAAATATTATTTTTTCCTCCATGCCTGCACTCTCAAGAATTAATTGGGGCAGGTTTCTATAGGAGAAACTTCATCATTTCAACAGCAGGCCAAAATAATAATAACTTTCCCAGATTATATTCTGTAGCTCTTGAAGGGGATGTGTGTGTGTTGCGTATTGGGCTTTCAAATCAAGGTTGATTCCTGGTGACTACCTAGGGATGTCCTTGCAGTTTTCTTGACTTTTACAGAAGTGTTTTATCTTTCCTCCTTTCCTAGGGCTGAAAGAGAGCGATTGGCCCAAGGTCACCCAACTGGCTTTGTACATAAGGCAAGACTAGAACTCATGGTCTACAAGTTTCTTGCCTGGTGCCTTAACCAAATTGATAGAGAAGCTTTATTAGAGAGAAAAAATAGCATTTTTTTTCACCAAAAGGTAATTCAGTTGAATAAGAATAAGAATGGAAAGTGAAAAGAGGTTGAAAATCATATTATGGTTAAGTTGTCAGCATCAGGAGGAATGGGGAGGTGGTCTTCTTTGCCTTTAACAGCTATAGAAATGTGGAGCATTCAGATATTGAGGGGAAGGAATGGTGAATGCACTATTTTCTGATTTCCCCCCCCCCCCAATACTTAATAGAAAACAATTGAAGGTATAAATTAGAGATAGTCAAGCTGTTTGGCCAGAGGAAAACATAACTGCATAGAAGGATAATATATTTGGAAGAACTGGAGAGCAAGCTTGCAAGTTCCACAAAATCATTCAAGAACATAGATGTTGAACAAAGAAGACTAGGAGCTGACAGGAAGGAAATTCAAAAGTAACATTAGAAAGTATTTCTTCACAAAAAGAGCAATTATTATTTATTAAATTTATCGGCCGCCCAGCTTACCACAGGTAACGGAAGCCTGCAACCAACTTTCAGTTGAGGTCATCATCAGTAACTAAGTTTAAACATGCTTGGGATACACACATGTCTATCGGTGAACAAAATTTAAAAATAAATAAATAACAAAATAAAATAAATAAAAATGTCTAAATAAATAAGTAAAAATTAAATAAATAAAAAATTTAAAAAATTAAAAAGAAAAAAAACAAATTCAAAGGGCAGATTCAATGGACCACTGAGGTTTTTTTTTTCTGCTGTCAGTTTTCTGTTTCTAAGGGCTCAGGGTAGAGAATCGAGGAAAGAAAAGCATATTTTATTCTTGGACCTAATGAATCCTCAATACCTCACTTGTGACAGTTCTAAAATCAAATGAAAACAATATTGGGAAGACTTTTGCTTTGATCCTATCTCATTCACTCTCGGTGATTTATGGGGTTTATCCTCAGGCCAACATGCAGAAAATTGCAGCCTTAATGAGGTCAGCCCATGACAGCCATAGACAGAAAAAAAGCACATTTTTTTTTTGTCTTTAGTGCTAACTGGGACTAACAAGAGTGAAAATTAATAAAAACAAGACTATTGTTATATTAGCAAAGCTAGAGATTGATTTTAAGTGATACACTGACAGGAGAATCAATAGAAGACCAGATGGGAAATGGCAGAGGGCATATTGATTGTCCAATAGGCAGTCACTCTCATTAAGTGCTGGAAAACCATCTTTCTGACTCCTAGCATTCTATTCTTACAGGTTCAAAAAGATTGTTAAAACAAGGTGAATGATGTCCACCTGAAAAGAAGCAGGATACAGTAAGCCAGTAAACTTAATTTGAGTGTTCTCTAAAACAGATTTAAAATTGCAAGTACTATATCTGGGCATGGAGACAAAAATCCTCAAATCACAACAGCATAATATTTGTATCAAAGCATTTTAAAGGTCACAAAGCAATCAGGGTTTTTCACAGAGGCTCATTTGCCAGTTTAAAATATATTTATATATCGTATTAGGGCCAGTTCAAAAGTAGCTTTGGCCGTTCAGTACTGCAATCTCATTTTGTGCCATAGCTTCAGCCTAGCACATGGCTGAATGCACTTTGTGTTCTACTCTCTACCCTTAATAGTTCCATTCTTACCCTGAGGCTCACAGTAATGTAGGCTTCTAGTTAAGGTTTGACTTCTGTCCTCTCTCTTTTTAGAAATTAGGGTTGGAATCACAATAAGCCCCAATAAAATTCTGCAAATTTTGAGACGTTCAAAGAAAGCAGGTTCTTACTCTGTAAAAAAAAAAAAAAACTGTCTAGTTTGAGATCCTGTAGGAAAGCAAAGTATCTTCTAACATTAGAAGTATTTTGCAAGCTGAGAAAATACACCTTTCTAAAAAATATGTTGAGTGACTCTAAAATGTTGAACAAATTTCTGCCTTTCCGTTTAGTTCAGCTTCCCTCCATTCCTTTGAAAAAAATCAATCATTGAACTTTTTTTGCAATTAGCGCCATATATTAAGCCGATTGTATGTTTTGTTCTCCTTTTTCCAATTCCAGGTTGACAAAAACTTATAAAGAGCTCCTGCACCATAGTCTCTCTTGTTAACACCTCCCCAGGATTAGCTTGTTTTGCACAGCATCCAGGCTGGGCCATCAATTTCCTCTAGTTGACCTCACCTTGGCCAGGACAACTCCCCATACCTCAGAGATGGGGGTGGCCAAAGTCATCCGGCACTTCAGTGGGGGTGACGGGGCAGGAGAACTCCAAGAAGATGGGTCAGTGGAATCCCCCCAAAACTGCCACAACGGCAAGCTCGTCACCATCCAGCCACGCAGCCGTTTTGTGAAGAAGGATGGCCACTGCAACGTGCAGTTTGTCAACATGAGTGAAAAGGGTCAGCGGTATCTTACTGATATGTTCACCACCTGTGTGGATATCCGCTGGCGCTGGATGTTTCTCATCTTCTGCCTTTCTTTTGTGCTCTCCTGGCTTCTCTTTGGCTTCACTTTCTGGCTCATTGCTGTACTTCACGGAGATCTTGCACCTGAGCACCCTCCCAACTCAAGGCCTTGCTTCTCCGAGGTCACCAGTTTCATGGCTGCCTTCCTCTTCTCCTTGGAGACCCAGACGTCCATTGGATATGGCTTCCGTAGCGTGACAGAGGAATGCCCCTCGGCTGTCCTAGCTGTGGTCTTGCAGTGCATTCTGGGATGCATCATTGATGCCTTCATCATTGGTGCCATTATGGCCAAGATAGCCAAGCCAAAGAAACGCAATGAGACCCTTGTTTTTAGCGAGATTGCTGTGGTGGCCATGCGAGATGGAAAGCTCTGCCTTATGTGGCGTGTAGCTAACCTGCGGAAGAGCCACCTGGTAGAGGCCCATGTCCGGGCCCAGCTGCTGCAGGTAAGGAGAATATTGGTGAGAAACCTATCAGTAACAGACAAAAAAGCAGCCAGACATTTGGAGAAATTTTAAGATATATTCTAGAATTACTGAAGGGGTACAGGAAAGGATAAAAAAAAATCTGGATTGGGAAGAGGATGAGACAGCAAGTTGGAGAAAATTTGGAGGAGACAAATCTGGCTGGAACATTGAGAACAACAGCTACAGGAATATTAATACAGAATGGATGGATGGATGGATGATGGATAAATGGGTTTAAGAAGTGAGAAGTTGAATTATGTGGATCTGGAAGGAATGATGAATACAAGGTTGGTTTCTGAATGGCGTAGAGCATGTTCACAATACAGATAGGCTGTTTAAGCCCTTCATACCATGTGACAATCATGCAATGAAACCTTGGTGTGATCTAGGCCAGAGGTCCCCAACCTTTTGGGCACCGGGGACCGGTTCCGTGGAGAGAGATTTTTCTGTGGACCGGAGGGGGCATGGTTTTGTGTGCTGCCTGCATCCCACAGATGGGGCTTTGCTTGTTTGTGCTGCAGCCCGGTACTGGTCCACAAACTGGTGGTTGGGGACCCCTGATCTAGGCTTTACACTGAGAGAGCCAACAACTTCAATCTCTTTTTCAACCATCAGAAATGACTATTGGCTCCACAGGATGGATTTTATACCTTGTCTTATATAAAAAGCCTAATATATAATCTCTCTTCTTTCCTTTGTCTCCTTTTCACACAGCCTCGTGTGACCCCTGAAGGCGAGTACATTCCCCTGGATCACAGTGATATTAATGTGGGCTTTGATAGTGGCACTGACCGCATTTTTCTGGTCTCCCCTGTGACCATTGTGCATGAGATTGATGCAGAAAGCCCTCTTTATGAGTATGGTCCTATGGAGCTGGCCAACGCTGACTTTGAACTGGTAGTCATTTTGGAAGGTATGGTAGAAGCTACTGCCATGACCACTCAATGCCGTAGTTCCTATCTGCCAAGTGAACTGCGCTGGGGACATCGCTTTGAACCTGTACTCTTTGAGCGGCGTGGGCACTATGAGGTTGATTACCAGCACTTCCATCGTACATATGAGGTGCCTGGAACCCCAGCATGCAGTGCCAAGGAACTCAGCCAACGTAAATACAGGGTCTCCCCCATTGGAACCACTGCTGCTCGTTCTTCCTTCTGCTATGAGAATGAAGTGGCACTTACAACCTGTCATGAGGAAGAGGAGGAGGAAGAAAGCCAGGGAAAACACCGAGTGAGTATGGAGAATGAAACAACCACTATCACATGACGTGATTCTTGTCCCTCAACTGAGGAGAGCTGAGGAAAGAAGAGGTAGTAGCACCCATATCAGATTTCACATAGTTGGGCTATTAAAACAATTGGCCAAAGTACCACATTTTCATACTTTGACTGACTGTACTCCCAAATCAAACACCTCAACTTGGTCATTGCTAGAAGAAATAGCATGGAATGAACGGAAGACTTTTCTAGATCATTTGTCTCTGAGGAGAGTTAAGGGGTTACAGATATACACTATGTCTATGTGAGGGGAAAGGGGAAGTTTTAGCCCAGGCAAACTTGCGAGAAAGAATATCCATTTCATGGACTTCAAAACAGCCCATGTATAACCTGATGTTTGTAGTAATACAAATTAAGATAACACTAATTAGGTGGAAGTCTGATGGATCAACAATATGTTTACTGTAAGGAGCTTGAAAACTCTGTAAGAAGATGCTTGATGACGCTGTACTAGTGGCTGCCCCATCGTAGCTGTCTCATGTCTGAAGCTTCAGGAAACAAATGGAGCAGCAACATTCTGTGAACAATGGAAATGGTGGTTTAGGTGAAATTCTACAGAACTAGAATATGTCTGGTCTATAATGAAGCAGTTCTGCCAAGTTTAAAGATGTGCATTTATTTTCAGAGATAGAAATGATATATCCACAGGGCAATAACCTAATCGTACACCCCAGGAATACCACTTTTTCAAACGCAGATGAGGAACCCTTTCCTAATTAGTCCTGCAAAATTAACTGGAAATTCTTAACAAGTACACATGCTGAGAAGTTTATTATTGTGGTCTGATAATACTTGGAATAAAGGAGTCTTTATAAGAATGGGTAATGTAGTGTACTGCATAACATACACATGGAACTACAAAACAAGTGTTTGCATTAAAAATGCAACTTAACCTGTGATAGCCGTATCATTTTTTTCATGCTTGTGGGAATACATACATATAAACTTTCATATTAACAGGGATATGAAAGGCTGCCTACTCTAAAATTAATTTTTGAAAGGCAAACAAAGAGAACTATAGATTTAGAGCTAAATCTGTTCTCTTCTGCTCTTTTCCCCATGTTGTACATGAGTGATAACAAAAATGGTCAATATTTCATCTTCTGCTGATGTACTCCATTGATTTCAGGGACACAGATGAAAGCTTGTTAAGTAGTTATGGCACCTGGATCAGAACTTTTAAACTTGTATTTTGCTGAGCTCAGTGCCTCTCATCCCTCCACTTGCTCTATGGCTAACTTTGAGGAATGGCCGGAAAAGAAGGATAGATTGGGGAGGAAGGAAAGAAAGATTATCCTAGCATCACATTAAAAATCTTAGTCTAATCATCTGCTCCCCAAAGCTTGATGCATATTAGAGCTGTGAAAAATCCTGACACAAACAGCTGCTACCCAAGCTGGTGGATGGTAGCAACATAGGCTGAAGGTCAAAGAGGTGATAGCGGAGATTGGATTTGCCGCTGGGAGCTCAGATTAATATGACACAGTTCCATCATTAATCTTGTTTTATGACAGCAACACGGGCGGGTAGAGGCAAACACATTGGGTTGTACCCTCTTCACAGTTTTCATTCCTCTCCTATCACCCTGGACCTCAAAGCACTGGCACCCAGTGTTCATTTGGGTGCCAATAATGTGACAGAACGTCAAGAACTTCTCGCCACCAACATAAGCAAATGACAAATTCAAGTGATAAAGCATTCTCCTTAAACTTAAAATATCCTCTCATGGGTCTCTAATCTCTAGGCCACGGGCATATTTTAGATTGACATGTGAAGGTTACCTCCAGATTGGGGCAGAGGTCAAATACACATTGTTTTGTCATGCTTCTTTACTGAGTGACTTGTGTCTGCCTATGGCTACTTCCATATTGTTGATGTTCTCTATCTTAACCAGCCAACCTTGGTCTAGGTCTAGGATCTCACTCCAATGTTGCTTCTGGTGTGTCTAGAAAGAAAATAATAACTATCTGTACTTCATTCACCTTTAACATCCAGCTTATTCCCTTTCTTCTTCCATGGATAGGAATATTTGGTATACCTTGACAAGCAAATTTCTGAGATACAATTATACAAATATAAGTTTTCAGTCATCATCATCATATTACATTTTTATATATGTGAGGAAGAATCCTACCTGTATTTGTTTTCTGATACTTCAGATTTGGGCTATCTCTTACGCCAATAACTGGCTATGAATTATTATTCTTTAAGAAGTTCAAGGCTCATAGATATATGAAAATCTTCCCTCCTTCCATCACACATTTTATTATCGCATCAACCTTGACTGAAGATTGGCTGAAAGAAAGCAAGTGGCTCTTTAAGGAAACTTAATAAAGGTCTTCTCAATCCTATTGTGTTTTGATCCATATGCTAGTATATGTCCTAAGTTTCTTGGGGAAAATTGGGTCCCAGATCTTTGTCCTTCAATATACAAGAAGGGTCCTGGTTTATTTCTTGATTGAAGTCATGTCCCCCTCTAATTTCAGCTCTGAAACCAGTGTGCAGTATAAAAACTACTTAAATGTCACAAATGAACATGCACAAGACTAGGTTAACCTTTTAATAAAAGAACATTTGTATTGGACAATTGAGAACCATCTTCTTGAGGTTCACATTTAGGAGGTTACCTCAGAAACGGTCTCATCCCAATTATATCATCCCATCCCACCCAGTCAGACAGAGGGAATCTGTTGTAGATTCCTTTGGTTAAAGTCTTTTTAATGGTAGGATCCAGGACGAGAGCCTTCCTGCTGTGGCCCCACTCTTTGGAACACCTTACTTCCAGAAGTGAGGTGGGGCCCCATTCTTCTTGACTTCAGAAAGAGTGCTAACACCTGGTTCTGCCAATTGGCATAATGTTATGCACAAGAAATAAGTAGCCGGGATAGAGTTCAAAAGCACTATGAGTTTATTTCATGCCACCTGTACACAAGAATCTGATCTACTAATGGTCAGCAGAAATTGGCAGCAGATAAGAGTCAACAGACTTCAAGGCGGCTGGACTTAGGTCTCTTATGGGACATGGTGACTCTAAATTCATGATGCTTTTGACCTTGTCCTTGGCTCAGCCTGGTCATCTACACACAGGGGTTGAAGAGTGTTAGAGAACCCTGGAGATGGTTGGTGTCATGGGGGTGTGCTCTCCCCCTTTTTAAGTTTTAATTCTGTAACCTTCTAATTTGGTTTTTAACTTTGTTCTTATTTATGCTTTTATATTTTGCAACTTGTTTTTATTGTAAGCTATCCAGAATCACTTAGGAAAGGTAGGTAGTACAGAAATGTGATGAATGGGTGGATGGATGGATGGATGGATGGATGGAATAAGGATGGAGTCAGGAAACAAAAAGGTGCCAACTAAGAAATGAAGCTCATTTGAGGAAGAAAGGTGCCTAATCAGCCCTAGGGGTTAAATGGGAAGAAGTAGAAGAGAACATGGCAACCACTAAAGCCAATCAGAAAGCAGCCAGTTAATCCCATGGATTCCCAGCCCTCTACTTACTTTGGGGACCCAGAGAAAAAAGTAAAAATATTAACACTTCCAACCAACTACATTTTTGCTGGCAACAGTAAAAATGAACCAAAGGGGGGCTGGCAAAATCAGGCCCTCGTCTGCTCAAATGCCTGGCACACTCCTGGGAACCCGAAGGTAAAGTTTTGAAAGGAACTATTCTTCTCCTCTTTTCATTCTTTCATATAAACAGAACTTGAGGGTTGCCTGTGGAAAGAACTGAGCAAAGATATAGATGCTTAAAAAAAAAAAAAAGGATACAGCAAAGTGTATCACAACTCCAAAGAAATTATTTTAACAAGCTTCATAAACATATGAAAACAGTTAAGATTCACTGGAAATGGGCTATAGAAACATGCTCCATCTCTGTTCTGTGTTAGCGCTAAATCTATCACTGGCCAAGTTGCTTGGCCAATGGCCAACTGATCAGCATCGACAGAGTAATTTATTTGACATAAGTGATTTAGAAGTGACCCCCTGTCCTGCCTCAGGCTCAAAAGTCAACACTCATACACCTTGCTATCTGAGAGAGCCAATTTTTTTTCTCGGCGCTATCAGTGCCCCCATGACAACAGCCCACTGCAGTCTATTGTCACCTCGTCCATTCCTTTGAGAGAACTCTGGCAGAAGAAATGGAGACTTCCAGAGAGATGATCCAATCCCACTCTCTACTGTCCATCACTGGAATTGCAAGCACTGCATTCGAGTTTCTTTTTTAGATATACGAGTCAAGCTAACTCAGTCCTGTGTCAATTTAACAAATAAGAAACATTGTGCACTACATATCCCCCCAATTTTTTTTTGTAGAATTGTTCAGTTATTTCCAACATTTGTCATCCAACAGATATTTCATCTAGACTGTAAGTCAGCAACTGCATCTCTGAGTTGTTTACATTTATCTAGGCAATAAAGAAATGTATGAATTGTAATTCTAAGTTACAGCTGCATTTACCCCTATGGTTCATGCATCCAAGTTTTACAATTCATGTGGAACTTTATATGCATTTCTGTGCTACATACATTCAAAGCACCATCAGATAGCAAAGAGTTGCAAAATTCTATATTTTGCTGCCTTCTAATGATTATTGTCTGGATTTGTGCAGACAGATATAAGGATGCTTGGGAATATATGATGTACTGTAGAGTTCCCTATTCTAGGTGCATTAGACACCTAGAGCAGCTCCCAGGGATGGCCAAACATAAATTCTTTTGGGGGCGGGCAAGCATCAAATTAAGGGAAGGCTGTTCTAACACAACAGGTAAGATTAAGAGTGACTGCTAAAGTCTTACCTGGCAAATTGTTTGCCATGTAATCCTAAACAGGGCTGTTCAGAAGCATTGCAGACAAATCCTTATTTGGGAGAGATTGTAAACCAATAAACAGTTCTCCCTATCGACATTCTTCTTCTTCTAAGTGGCAATTAAGTACTAAGTAAGATAACATAATTTTCTGCTACAAAACTTTACAAAAATCACTGCAGCTACTAATTAGTAAAGGGTTCTTAAGTGAATTACCAGGTAAGGACACAAGAAAGACAAGCAACTGTCTAGATCTCTCTTAGCAACAGCCTGCCCCTCTCTTTCTTGTCTGCTTCTGAGGCCAGAAAATTTGCTTTCTACGAACACAGCCAGATGGTTGTATTGAAGGGCAGACCTTCCAGCAACAAAAAAGATATCAGCTACAAATGCTCTGCCCTGAAAACCCTGTTCTGCTTTACTTACAGCAAATGAGGCCATCCTTACTTTTAACAAGGCAAAGAAATCTCTGGCTTTGCTTCTCCAATTGTTCTCCCTTATATGTGCATGTGGGGAAGGGGCATCTGTGACTCTGACCTGTCGAATGAGCTATTTCGGAACAAGGGTCTAGCACTCTTCTTAGAGGTAAACTCATGTCACAAAAGAGCCCGTGTCACAAATAACAAGCCTGTTGAGCAGCACAAGGTAACATAAGGGAGGGAGCATCTGATAATGAGCAGTCTCTGTCCTTGACTAATTCTGCAAGAGAATAGCAGCTCCAGCTGCACAGTCCCAACCAACAGCGTCCAGAAAGAACCTGTGAAGTAGACAAAATCTGGCATCCTTTTCCCAACAGCAATAGCCCTGTTTGGCAGAAACAACAGCAACCTTATATAGGTAATCCTGGCTTTACTATGGTAGGGGCACAGATTCTGTCACTGCATGACAGCCGTAAAGCACAATGTCATATGACCACACTGACTTATGATGGCAGTTGTGGCAGTTCCAGTTATCATTGTTAGCCAAATCCCCATGCGATCCCAGTGTCCTGTGGTCATGTGATTCCCATTTGCAACTTCCTGCTGGTTTCACCATTGACTTGGCTTGTCAGAAACTAGCTGTGAAGGTCGCAAATGGTGATTACATGACCATGAC